CACATCGATGTTTCTCTGTCTTTCCCTCTCTCTCCCACTCTCTCTAATAATCAATGGAAAAATATACCGGAGTGAGGATTAACAACAACAAAAGACCCCAGGCCTTGAGCCCTGAGTCACCGGGACTTCAGATCCTGGTTGTGAGCCCTTGAGACCCCCAGACCCTGAGGGTCTTTTAAAGCCACAGACCTAAGACCTTAAGGGCCCTGGGCTTCAGCCCCAACACCTTGGACCCCAAACTCCAGCTCCCAGGTCTGAGACCCATCGAGGCCCAGCCCTCACCCCGGAGTCCCTGAGATCTAAGACCCCAGGCCTGGCCCCCACGTGAGGCCGCAGTGCCCACCCCACCCAGCACCAGGGTCCACCCTGACTCTCCGGACCTGGCCCCCACCCCCCTGGACGTGGCCCTGGACCTTCGGCCTTAACATCCCCACCTCCTGGGCGCAGCCTCTGCTTGCTTTCTGAACCCAGCATTCCCAGTTTGAGGCTCAGTTCCTGGGAGGGGGCATGCAGGAGGCAGCCAATCACTGTTACGCTCTCACATCGCTGTTTCTCTCTCTCTCCCTCTCCCTTCCTCTCTTTCTAAAAATCAATTTAAAAATATTTTTTTAAAAAATCCTAGAGCCCTAGCTGGTTTGGCTCAGTGGATAGAGCATTAGCCTGTGGACCAAAGGGTCCCGGGTTCGATTCTGGTCAAGGGCACCTACCTTGGTGGCAGGCTCCTCCCCAGCCCAGGCTCTGGTCAGGGCTCGTGCAGGAGGCAACCAATCGATGTGTTTCTCTCACATCGATGTCTCTCTCTCTCTCTCTCTTCCACTCTCCCTAAAAATCAATGGAAAAAGCCCTAGCTGGTTTAGCTCAGTGGATAGAGCATTGGCCTATGAACTGAAGGGCCCCGGGTCGATTCCGGTCAGGGGCACATGCTGGGGTTGTGAGCTTGATCCCCAGTGGGGGGCGTGCAGGAGGCAGCTGATCAATGATTCTCTCTCATCATTGATATTTCAGTCTCTCTTTCCCTCTCCCTTCCTCTCTCTGAAATCAATAAAAAATATATTTAAAAAGAAAAATCAATGGGAAAATATCCTCTGGTG